TTTCTACTTTTTTCTAAACATATTCCCATTTTTATTATATTACTAAAATTTTTATTTTTTTTATTGTATTTTTTCTTGTAAAAAGTTTTATTGTTTAACCAAAACTTTTGTTACTGTAAAATATAATTTTTTTCTGTACATAAAATCAAAAAATTTACCGTGGGTAATATTTTATTATGAACTAAGAAAAATTACAAATGTAAATTATTTCTCCCTGACTATATCTACATATAATTATGATAATCTAAAGCAGCTCTTTATAATAGCAACTGCTTGCTAATTTTGCAATTAGAATTTACAATTAAACGAACTTTCTTTTTTATTAATAAAAAGTGCATCCCACATAGAAATGCTGCGAGAGAAGCTGTAAAAATCTTTTAGAGATTTTTTTATTATAGTTGACAAACGCATGAAGTTGAATTAAAAAATAAAAGAAATAAAAACTTTACGGAATGTATAAAATTTGTACTTTGAGACTATTAGCATTTTTTTCAATATATTTGATTTTATAAGCATAACCTTTTTTTATAGAGTCTTCCTTACAAGAAATAGTAAATTGCATGTATAATATTAGAATATTAAAAAAAAAAATAATTCGGGTAAAGAAAAAGATGTTCTTCAAAAAAAAAAGAAATGAAAAGAAAAAGATTTGAGGAGAGAAATGTGTGAAACTGTGAAAAATGTGAGAAGAAATTAGATTGGAAAATTGTCCGATTGCATGCGCGCACAAACTTTGTTGAGGAAAATGGGTATATTTTTGTTATTATATTTTTTTTCTGTTCGTTATTTCGAATTTTGTTTAGTCAAAAATAAATGTTTTCCGAGGATAGTTTTTTTTTTTTTTTTTTAGAAAAAGAAGTTTATTTTGTTTTTATAAGTCTTAGGAATTGGTATTTTTAACTTCAGTATTAATCAATTTTATTTTTTGAAATTTTTTTTCTATTATTTTTATTTTGACAGTAATTTTATTATTCTGTTGTTTTTATATTTTAAGTATTGTTCTAGTATTTTTATTTCTATTGAACTTTCCTATTCTTTTAATATTTTCATTAAGTATTGTAGTCTTATATAGGTGTAAGCATTATCTATTTCCATTACACAGATTCACAAAAAAAATTTTTGTTTCTGATCTGGGGGTCTGATTATGTGTACCTTATGTTTTTGAGGTCGATGAATCTGAATCCGAGGTCTATTTAACCCAATGTCATCAGGGTTTTTAAATAACCCCAAAAACCAATATGGCAGAAACTTATTTGGAAAATACTTCGGATTCGATTAAAACTCGTTACTCGGGGGTTTTTGGGGTCGATTATTACGAATCAGCTTTAAAACATTAAGCATGTCAGATCCAATATGTCGAACAAAATTTTTTAAAATTCATTGAATTTTCTTTTAACTCGATACTTGGGGGGTTTTTGAGGTCGCTGAATAAGAATTTAAGATCGGTTTTCAAAAACTGAAAATGTCGGATCAAATATGACGGATAAAATTTTCCAAAATTGATAGAATTTGCTTGAAACTTTGGAGCTTCGGAGGGTTTATTAAATACATATTAAAGTACATACATACAATACTCACTGTTCTTACTTATCATCCTTATCATATTTTACAGTTATTCACAAAGAATTCGATGAATTTTTTTTATATTTTAAGAAAAAAATGATCGACACATGGTGTTAAGTAATTTAGTTTTTTCCATATTTTTTAGTATTTCTACTTTTTAGAATTCTTTTTGTTCTTTTGTTTAAGTATTCCTGTTTTTTAAATATTTTCTGTAGTTTTTTTTATTCTTCTACTATTTTTATTATTTTGGTATTTTTATTTTTCAAGTTTTTTTGTCTACTTTTTTGCATTCTTTTATATCTTTCTAGTATTTTTCCGATTTTTATTTTTTTTTTATTATTTTATTTTTTCTATTTTTATAATATTTTTATTTTCTTTATTATTATTATAATTGAGGAGCTGGATTCTAGAACCGGCTCTTCGCTCGGACCGTAAGCGCTAATACCAGTCGGGTGGCAGTGAGCGCCTCTGGGCCTGTCACTGCTACCCGACTGATATTAGCGCGTGCATTCCGAGCGAAGAGCCGGTTCTAGAATCCAGCTCCTCAATTATTTCAATTAAAGATTATTATCATTATTTCAATTAAAGAGAAATCGAAAAAAAGTATAATAAAAATTCATAATATTGAAAAATAAATATTTAAAAAAATAGCCGAAAGAAAAAGTAGAAAAATCGAAATTCTTATTCCCTCGTTTGAATTCTTAAGTCAAAGAAAATCTTTGTGTTGAAACGAATCCGCCAACTAAAATCTGAAGCTCAAAAGAAAAGTTCCAAGCGAGTATTCTGGGGATTACGGGAATTAGACGCGAGCGAGGTAGATGGGGGAGACCCCAAGACATTTGTCTGGATCACTGTTATTTCACCGGATTTTCTATGTACAAAAGGTTTCTCCACATTCTGCAATTAGACAGATAATCCCTGAGCTACAAAGTAAGTAGTTTCTGCGTGTATGTTTATGCAAAGAGCCTTAAAATGTATTGCAGATTATTTATAGGAATGCTTCCTTGTTTGCATATACGCATACTTAAATATATATTGTACATGTATGTATGTACATATATATAAGAAAAGTTCATTCCTCAAAATAAACAACTATAGATTGTGGGTAGTTTCCTGTGAAACAAATTTTCAACATTGTTTATAGATATTTTTATTGTATATAAAAGAAAACAAAAAATTTTATAATAAACTAATCAAAAATTATAAATAATAACAAATGTATTATTAAATATTAATTAATAATAATAATATTATTTTGAATAATAATAATAATAATAATATTATTTTGAATAATAATAATAATAATAATAAATGAAATATATAAAAATGTTTAAGTATTGCGTTGAAAATTTTTTGACAAATTAAAAATTTTTAAATGAAATGAAATTATAAATTTTCACTTGTTTGGTTTGACTAAAATTAACTTTGATTAGTGACACAACAATAATGACGTTTGTAAATAAATAAATAATTTTCAACATTTTGGGACTTTTTACTATATATACTGATTCAGAAATTTTATTTCTATGACTGCATTTTAAGCAATTGAACTCCTCAGCATTGAAAATAATTTTTCAGTAAATGAATAAAAAATAAAATAAAATAAAATAATAAATAATAATAATAATAATAATAATAATAATAATAAAATACAACGTATTAATATTGTAGGTATTTTACTATTGAGAATGAAAAATATAACTTCCTAAGTTTTGCCTGACTAAAATTGACGTTAACTACTTACATACTAAACTATCAGTAGCTTAAATTTGAACTAAAAAGGATTAAAATAATCCATTTTTGGATTAATTTTTTCTTTGAGAAAAATGTGTCCAAATCAAATTTGAAAACAAATTAGGTAAATGGTAAAGAATTATATATCAAAACTTAATGAATTAAAAAAATATAAATAACATTTCAAAACATTTTCAAAATATTCGTACGTAATACTTGAACGTCTTCAGTAATTAAAAAATAATTGAAAATAAAAAAAATAAAAAAAGTACTATTTATATAATAAAAAAATAAATTTCTAAATCTGCAATAAAAGAGAAATTTCTTAAAATTAATTTTTCAAAAATTGTTTTTTTTAAATTTTACTTTTGAAATTTCTTTTTGTTTCGACTTTTTTTGAGACTTTTTTAATGACCATTTTTTATTTTTATTATTTTCCGGATAAGTTTTGCAACATATTTATTGGACAACATTCAACGCAAATAGAAATACAATCATTGAGAGAGCTTTCCTAAGAAATTCTCATTTTAAAAAATATAAATTCGTGCAGACATTTTTCTCATAAAATAACAAAAATTTATCTTACACTTAAACATAAGAATTGGTTTTATTAAATTATATTATAAAGTATATATACATAAATTTATAAAAAAAAAAACAAAAAGGAAAAGACGCAGACAAAAAATTATAATTTATCCAAAAATAGTTAAAAAATTATATAAATTTAGAAATATTCGACATTTTTTTCAATCATTATTTGTAAATAATACTTTTCGATATAATTAAAAATACATGTTTCTTTTATTTTTGAAAAATTCCTATGCGTAACACAGTCATCCCTGGAAAAATTGTAAATATTTAATTCACTGGAAAAAATTGATCTAGGTATTAAAAAAAAATTGAAATTGATATTTAAATTAATTTAAATTCAGGATAAAATTTCTTCTTATTGAAAAGAGATTTACACTCTCGCTTCATACTTAAGTAAGTTCACTTTCAAGGGAGTAAAATTTTTAAATAAAATTAGAATTTTAAAAAATATAAATTCCTGTTTTAAAAATTGATTATCTCGATAGAACATTTACAGTATTTCTGGAATTAAACTTTTCTTTTGCTTTATTGTTGGTGTGAACTCAACCCCCAATGGATTGTGAATTAATTTTGTTTCTTGTATTTAAAATGTAAGATTTTACTCTTTTCTAAATTAAAAGTCAGCAATGCCAGAACTCCCGATGGAGTAAAACTAACTCCTAAAAAATTTAGAACAGAAAGAAAAAATTTAGAAAATTTATTTCAAAATAAGGAATTATAAATTTCCATCAACAGGATCAGAAAAACTAAAAAATGAAAATGTAATAAATGGTCAAATTTTTTCAGTGTTAAAATTGTCAATCTTGTCCTGAATGTTACATTCGTACAATAACAAAAAAATGTAAATATTCGTCATTTTTGTGATTGTATTGTTGCACAAAAATTGCAGTGAATTTCGTTGAAACATTTCCCCATAAATTATTGAATAGAATTTAAAAGAATTTTCTCTTCGCCGAGAAGAAACAGTCTTGCGGTAGAAATGAAAGTAAATAGCCAATTGCCTGTTGCCTTTTATGAAACCTGTAGTATTTTTTGAATTAGCTTTTAATGAAGAATTATGTAAACATAGGGGATGACAGAAGAAAGTAAGAATTTCGAAATGCATGTTACAGCTGCGGAAGCCAGTGTCCACTCTCTCGATTCCCGGGGCGATGAAGAACTGTGGCGGAATGGCCGCAGGGCCCGGGGGTACCGGGAGTGGGGGTAGCGGCGGAATCGGTGGCGCCGGAGGTGAAGAGGCCGCGATCGCTCTCGTCGGCGTCCATTCGGAATACCCGCGTTATATGGAGGATCGAGGCCTTGGCGGTGGTTCGATTAAGGGCCACGGAAGCATTGGTACTGCCTCGAAGCACAAACCAAACGTCGGCTATCGGCTCGGCCGTCGGAAGGCACTCTTCGAGAAGCGGAAGCGCATTAGTGATTATGCCCTCGTCATGGGAATGTTCGGAATTGTCGTCATGGTCATCGAAAACGAACTCTCAAGTGCGGGGTTGTACACAAAGGTGAGTCAAAAAATCTATAACAAACAAATTTAAAAGAAGAACTTAATCAGATTATTCAGTTGTTACTTATTTTAGCAAACAAAATTAAATTTATCAATACTTAATTAATACCTATACTCTCTAAATCTAAAATAGCGATAAGTATACCACTGATTCCAATGAGCGTATATATACGATAATTGGAATCAGTGGTATACTTATCGCTGGGAAAATAGTGAAATTTCGCAAATTCAGATTTAGATAGTATGCGGCAATCAAGGTGAAATTGTCAAGAAAAATTGTTTTCTAACACACACCCCGAAAGTACACGATTTCTTACCTGTGAAGGGGGAGAAAAGTATGTCTTTCCCAGCGAGCGCACAGTGGTGCAAACCTGCAAATTGAGTTTTAAAAAGGTCTACAGGCCTTATTTTTAAACCGATTTTATTAATTTTTTTTTAAATGACAGCTTACAAAATTGCAAAGAGCTTTGTCGAGCCTGATTTTTAAATTTCTATTTGTTTATATTAATTTGTTTATTGCAAAGTTAACCAAAAGGAAGAATTTTTCAAATAATTTGTTCTCCCATTTATGCAATCAAATATTTATTATTCAAAATTAGTCAAAATTAATGTTAGTGTACTCCTTGAATAAAAAAAAATTAAACAGGTAAAATTTTTATAATTATAAACAAATTAAGTTAACAAATATTGACTGCTATAACAAACTGTAAAAAAAGACAATAACTTTAATGGATTTTGATGAAATTCGTTACTCAGGGGTTTTTGGGGTCGCTGATTACGAATCAAATGTTAGTTTTTTAAAATTCAAAATGTCGGATCCAATATGGCGTACGTCAAAGTTAAAATTCATCAGATTTACTTGAAATTCGTTACTTGGGAGTTTTTGGGGTCGCTGATTACGAATCAAATGTTAGTTTTTTAAAATTCAAAATGTCGGATCCAATATGGCGGAAGTCAAAGTTAAAATTCATCTGATTTACTTGAAATTCGTTACTCGGGGTTTTTTGGGGTCACTGATTACGAATATGAAGTCAGATTTTCAAAATTCATAATGGCGGATCCAATATGGCGGACGTCAAAGTTAAAAATTCATCAGATTTACTTGAAATTCGTTACTCAGGGGTTTTTGGGGTCGCTGATTACGAATCGGATGTTAGTTTTTTAAAATTCAAAATGTCGGATCCAATATGGCGGACGTCAAAGTTAAAATTCATCAGATTTACTTGAAATTCGTTACTCGGGGGTTTTTAGGGTCGTTGATTACGAATCAGATGTTAGTTTTTTAAAATTTTAAATAGCGGACGTCAAAGATACAAATTTATCTGATTCACTTTAAAATCATTACTCCGGAGTTCCTACTTACCAAGACTGATGATGATTAATTTTTTGGTGTTTGAAAATATAGAAAATAAGATTATAGAAAATGAGGAGGTAATGGAGTAAATGAAGATGCCTATCATGAAAAAAAAGTTTTTCTTTATTATCTATCCTAATAGGTTTATTGAAATCATTCAAGAACTAATATTTGCAGCTTCTATAGAACAAATTGAAATAAAAATATGTGAAAAAAGTTTCAATTTTAGTTTACGAAAAATTAAAATAAAACTCTTTTCGAACCTCTTTTAAGCCTCTTTATTTCTCTTTTCAACCTTTTTTGAACCTCTAATATTGTCGAAAAATACATTTCTCCAGTGTTTCAGGATTTATAATTGTTATGCATAGAGACTTAAAAAATGATAAAAAGAGGATTTTGGAGAACTAAAAGAAAGTAAAAATTTTGACTTGGGGGGCCACTAAAACAATATTAATATTTATTAATCAGTACTGTCAAAATGTTATATCATCCCAAAGTTACTCCATATCTGGCGCCAGTAGAAGTCAGTACAGCACCAGTACCTGCCATGTTTTTCTTTTAGTGTCCAATATTCGTTTGAACGAAGATTAATTTTTCTATTGGAACTTTTTTACTTTCTACTTTTTATATTGTCTGAACGAAATGATTTATGAAATAAATCACCGAAATGATACAGAATTTGAAACCCTTGGCGCATTTTCAAAATTCAATATGAATATAAATTCATCTGAATACAACTCTGAGAATTTTGTATCTATAATTTCTGTATTTTCCGTTATTCACACAACGAATGAAAATTATATATTCAAAAAACGTAACAAAGACCAGATCGACAACTTCCATTAGTGCAGAAACTGATCGCTTATGATGGCTTTTTTCAAGATCCCAATCTTTTGTTACCTTAATCAAATTCTAATTTTGATGACAGTGATTAATTTTGACAGGAAATTTAGTGATATTATTCACAGGAATCTACATATAGTTCTTTTCATTTCTTATTAATGAATATTTTATTTTTATTTTGTTTCATTTACATGGATTATATAATTAAAAATAATAAAAATTTAAAATATTAATACTTTCATCTAAGCAATAATTGTTTAATTTTTTTCTACAGTGAATAATTTATTTAAATTAAAAATTTTTTAATGAATGATAATAATAATTGTTTTTTTATGTTTGTACAAGTTAGTTGTATAATGAATTCTCATCAACTTTGTAAAGCACGTTAAGTATATTTCAAAATAAATGTGATGTTCAAAAGAGAAATTTAATGACAACTCGAAATTCAATTTATTCCGTTGGGAAATTTTCTCTTCGGTTTGTCTATAAAAAAATGGAGGTATACACATATGACTTCTAGAAATATCTTGGAAGTCAGTAATAAAGATATTTAAGATTTAACAGTTGACAGTTTCACTGCTTATTTTTATTTTCCTCCAGTATCAACACAGGAAACAAGAAGTGTTATTTTAACACTAAAAGTAGTGTTAAAACAACACGCAACATTTTTAACCGACACTGTGTGAATTTAACACTTCATTGGTGTTAAAATAACATTAGAGTGTGTTAAATTAACACTCGAGGGTGTTAAATTAATATACATTTTTAATGGGGTTAAAATAACCCAAAAATTGTGTTAAAACAACACCATCTGAAAAGTACACGCAACAAATTTAACACATATTTTTTTCTGTGAAATATATCAAAGGGAAAATTAAAATTCTTTAAATTGTACAAGTATTATTATCATTAAAAAAAAGACTGTCTAATTGTTAAATATTTTTATTTTTCAGAATAATAATTAGTATTTTAATTTTTTTAATAACACTAACATTAGTAATAATATTACTTTAATTCCAAATGTAGGTAAATATTAACTATATTATTATACTATTACTATTTCTAATATTTATTTTTAAATGTTCTCTAAATCTTACTGTTAAAAAAGTAAGTTAAAGAAAGGTACTTATTTGGTACCAATTTTGGTACTAAAATAAAATACAATAAAATAAAAAATTTTAATGGCCGTTAATAAATACCAATTTCTAAATATTTTATTGATTTTGCGCAGAGGAAAAGATCATTTATTTTGCAATTAAAGTTTTAAAAGTGTGAAGATGCTTTTTTGTTTGTTTTATTAATTTATTCAAAGAAACTATAATTTTTAACTGTAGTTAGAAGTTATGATCTTTATAAAATGAATTTACTTATTTTAATTAGTAAAACAAACAATAGAAACATTTTCGAAAGACAATTCTGAAACTGTTTTATTTTATAAAATAATTAGGTACTAAAAGGGCTCTCTATAGTTAAATCCCCACATTCTGCCTTTCTATTCAGGCAGTAACTCTATTTTTCCGCATCCTATTTTCTATTTTCACACGGGAATCTTTAAAGTGATAATTAAAAAACAATAGTAATTACTTTTCAATCTTAAACATTATTATATTGTAAGGTGGATTTGCATTTTATCAGTGACCCTTTTTTTGTGCTCGTTGGGATTATAATGCCATGCACATTTCTTTGGCCGTGTTCCGAATTTCGATGCCAAAATTTTCGATGAGCATAGTGAAGCTGCTTTGCTTTTTGTTAGCAACGAGCAACGTGATACTATTCATTTTATTTGGTTGCGTTGTGAGAAGATACTACAATATTCCCACAAGTAGAATATCTGCTGGTGGCAGAAATTTTCGAAAGCTCTATCCTCACTCTCTATAGTAGAGTATTATATGTTTATGCTGGCACCCCCAACCACTGCTCTGTCATTTGCCGACTCAAGTTTGGCGCCACCCTGGCTGCTACGAGACTACTTATTATCTTTCAGATGATATAGCATCGTTATACACACGCTTGATAATCGAGATCCGTAACTTCATATCGTTCCACGTGCACAATTCCTTTGTTAATTCAGTGTATAATTTATCTCGAGCATCTCTCTCTCTCTCCTCATTTTATATGTTTAATTTACAAGGAAATTGGAAAGAGCGAAAAATTTAAATGACAATTTTGGGTACGTAGTTACAATAAGTCAAATGAAATTAAAAGTTTTAAAAAATTATTTTCAATTAAGGGGAAGAATATAACTTTCAATTGTTCTTTTTTGCAACAAAAATATTTTTTTTTTAGTTGTAAATTTTTAGAAACAATTATTTTTAATGGTTCTTTTCGTTGCTTTTTTAAAGAAAACAAATATTCCTTTCTTTTATTGAATTTTTCAATCTCAATATTCTACTAATAAAATTGAAATAACAATTTTGAAGAAAATTGTAATTTTAATAGTTTTTCCGTTTTTCTAACAAAGAATAGGGAAAATGCATGTATAATCGGACGGTACCGGTACTCGGACACTTTCGTGTTTTTCGTCAAACCCATTTCGTACCGAAAGTCCGTTTTTGTGCCTTCACATTTGTACTTACCATTTTCAAAGATGGTGGGTTATTAAAAATTTACAAATAGTATTTCTTATGTATTTTTTCATCCTCTTTCAGAATATGGAAACTAACTTCTGACGTTATAATTGTTTAAACAAAAAAAAACACAAAGTTTTTTGGTTTTTGTTTCATTGAAACTACATTTTTGATTGGAAATCGCTTCAGCAAAAATTTGTGGATGACAAAATATCGCGTCCAAAATGTATGTAT